GCGCTACACATTTATCCTCTTGTTACTGAGGTCCTCCATCCACGACAGAGAGGCTAAAGCAGAAATGACTCAACCTGCAACTGAAAATATGGATGGATGACCTCAGTTTAGCTTGTTTATCGCACTAGCGCCAAGCTAATATACAGCATATAAGGCAATATAGTGTCAGCGCTAGTGCAAAGGCTAACAGGCTAAGCTGAGGTTCTTCCATGAAGCAGCTCTGTTGTCCTCCATCCATATTGTCAACGCTCTGGTTTCATTTAAAAGAGCCAATCGTTAGATATTGTCCAGGATTAACCTTCAGGGTGGATATAGCTCGCTCACACCGAGGACCTATCCATGTCATCATTTACCCAGAATGCTTTGTGTGTAAATAAAATGGCTCCGTCTGTGTTAAAATATATTTTTAAAAATTTACAAAATTAAACAGCCTACAGTATTTTTACAGTCTTTTTTACAGTTAAAATATATGTTTATCAAATAAAGTCTAATGTTACAACTAATCAGGGATCCCTTTAAAGACGTCTTAAGTTATCCCAGCAAAGATAAATTAGAACTGTGTAACTTGAAAAGCTTATTGTTTATTGATAACATTATATATTTCTTATGTTTTCTGTTTTCACATTACGTGAAACATTGCATTAAATGATGTTAAAGCAAAAATTTAAATTCATATTATGGCAGTTTTTATTTGAAAACTTGGCAGCATATTAATCAAATGCAAAAAAAAAAAAAAACTAGGAATAATTCATGTAACACATTAATACGTATGTTAATTCTAACTAGAATAGTACCTGGAGAAACTATGAAGGGCTTGCCAGGTGCCATCCAATTTAAATAAAGATCACAAAGGAGGATCACAGTGATCTACTACCATCCCAAATTTGAGCCAAATATGTCCAAAAATGGCCGACATGGTCAATTATGCATTTTAGCTATGGTAGCCATCTTGGATTTTAAGACATGTATTCAGAATTTGTCTAAATTTATTCTTGGCTACTACTATCCCAGTTTTTACCTCCAAGTCTTAAAATAGCTGAATTAGAGCCTTTTTAAATTAGCATTAGTGGTTAGCTTAACCTTGTGATTAGCATTCAGAATGTGTTGAGTTTGCTTCACAATGCCTTCCTCCGCTCTATTATTCATTTGATATGGCAAGCCCTCATAACATTAAAATCTTTTGTTATGTCAAAATTTGAAGTTACAACAAAAGTTTTGTTCAAAAAATGAATGTCTCAAGTTATACAATATCATGATATATTTGGGCTTTATTTTTGCTGAGGTACAGTAGCAGCTTTATTTCATTTGAGTAGAGAGGTTTTTTTAGATACTTTTCATTGTCAGGACTGTAGGAATACATTCTGTAGTATTTTTTTTTTAGTTTGTGGCAAAGTTTTGTGAACACACACCATGGTGGTGTACCTAAATTATGTTAATTTGGATTCACGGCCTGCTGTGGTGTAACACAGTGTCTGAACAGCAAGTAAAACAACACAACGATGGAACAGACTATGTGGGGAAGAGTGAGGGGCAATAAAAGCACAGAAACTGATTAGGAAGAAAAGAGAAGGAGGACACACTAAAGATGAGAGAAAAGAGCAGGGATGGGAGCTGGGGCGTGTTGGGAGAAAAGCCTGGGCAAAAACAAACCTCTAGGAAGCCAAAGTGACCTGACTTTGTTCCTTATCAACTAACTGGATTATACAAGTCATTGAATTGATAGTTTCAGCCAAATTATGGCCTCTCAAGACATTTTTATACAATTATTTAACTGTTTCTAGTGAGCATAACTAATTTGGGTGTAGTATTTAGAATAATAGCTAATCTGTGCTAAATATTAGGGGTAAAACGACACACTGCTGTGGCAGAGTGGTTAGGGGAGTCGTCCTGTAACTAGTGATGGTGGTCAGAGGGTCCGGTGGGGCAGCCTCGCCTCTGTCAGTGTGGCCCAGGGCAGCTCTGGCTACAATTTAGCTTAGCACCATCAGTGTGTGAATGACTGAAGTGTAAAGCACTTTGGAGTCTGTAGGGACTTGATAAAATGATATAAAAGTTCAAGCCATTTACCATTTTACTTGTACCAAACCCTCACATTACAGACATCAAGATCTGGTGAGTGCAGAATTGGAGAAAGGCCAGGAACTTGAAGACCTGCTTGTTTGTTTTTAAACCACCTGTGTGGAAAATTTTGATCCCACTGATCAAGAGTGGAGAGCTAGATTTGGATGTAGCTCTAATCATTTCAAAATGTTCTGTAATTTTGAATGCACCTAAATGGAACTGCTAGTTTGCATATGCTAATTTGGTGGTTGCGTTAACAAAATAGCTCACAAACCATTGGACAAATTTTTATTAAACTTTCATAATGTAATCATTAGACATCTACAAGCCAATCAAATTCAATATAGCCACCACAAAAAATACTAAACTGGCATTGAGCTACAAGTTTGGTGCAGCAGTTGCGGAGAGTCATCCCAAACCAACCCATTCTCACTCCCAAGTCGTTACATATTGACGCTTTTCCAAGGTTCCCTCTGCGTCCGATTTTGACGCATCAGGTACCTCCTTGCATCAGTTTTTGACAAGATGGGGCGGAATCCATTGTCATAATTTCTGAAAGTGTAGAAAATGCACAAATGTAACCGTCCCGAAGCCTAAAACTACCTTTATTCGCTTTAGACATCCTGTCCCTGACCCTAGTACTTAAAATTTACCATTTTTAGAAAATGTAGGAAATTCACGTCAGCTACGTGTTCCAAAGCCTAAAATTACCTAATATTCGCCGTTGACATCCTATACCTGACCCCAGTACCTACAATTAACCATTAATCCTGATCCCTCATCAGTATTAACCTCAGACCCCCGACCCAAAGACCCCTGGTGGCGCAACCCGGAAAAGCCACAGGCGGCAAGGACTGATGCGAGGGGGTCACCTGACGCGTCAAAATAAGATGCAGAGGGAACCTTGGAAAAGCGTCAAATAAGTTGACGAGTTGGGAGTGAGAATGTTACCCAAACACATAATTTGAGTGCTCCAAATTCTGCTAAATACTAGGTTAAAATTTGAACTGCTCTCAGATTTTGATGAAACTCTCAGATATCAATTATTAGAAGTTCATCTACAATGATTAACCTTTGGAGTCGATCCAACTCAGGATCGATTGAGTCAATTGGCTGCCATAGCCAACTGAGCTTAACCAACACAAACTTTACTGTAACAAAGTTGGTTTTACAAATAGCCAAAATGTGATGTGCTGTCTGTCAAATAAACATATTTCGAGCACTTATGGAGTCTGTGTGAGATCATTGTTTTCAAGATTGGACAAAAACAGCTTTTAGGACATATTTTCTCAACATAGATGATGTTAGTTTAAAACTCTGTCATGACAGGTGGTAGGTGAGATGGGTCTTTCATAAAAGAATGATAAGTCTTTCATTTTATAGTGAAGTTACTTGTTGACAAATCTGACCTTGCTGTTTCTTAAAGTCTCCTTAACAAGGATGGTTTGCTTGCCTGTCCCTACCTACTTCTTGGAGGGTTATTGTCTGAGAAAATCTTAGTGGCTGACATTTATTTTCTGTACGTTGCACCTGATACTACGGAGCCCACGAGGGGACATGGGGGAATTATTTTCTTTTGCGTTCCAACGCGATGCCTTTGCATTCCCTCGCAATACTTTTGCGTTCCCACGCAATGCCATTGCATTCCCTCGCAATACTTTTGCGTTCCCTCACAATACCTTTGCGTTCCCTCGCAATACTTTTGTGTTACCTTGCAATATTGTTTTGCGATCCCACGCAAAAGTTTGATTTGTATTGTATATGAACTGAATTAAATCAGACTTTTATTTTGAAATATCTGGTTACCAAAACAGGACGTGTCGCCACAAGTTTGTGAACTTGACATTAATGTTGCGTGGCTGCACTGTGTTAAAATATTGGCATATAACATACTTCCATACGTGGTTGTGATTTATTCATTCTAAAGCTGAATAAAAGCAGTAGGCTAACTCGCTAATGGTGAACATGAGTTTGTTAATAAACCGACAGGCACAACTGTGATAAACGACTTTTGCGAGGGAACGCAAAAGGTATCGCGAGGTAAAGCAATACTTTTGCGTGGGAACGCAAAAAGAAAAAAATCCCCCATGTCCCCTCGCGGGCTCAGTACGATACATACCATGGCCCAAGGCACGTACTGAACCTTGATTTATGTATATCATGTACCTCTACTAAAATAATTCTCAGAAGAAAGCCTGGGAATTGATTGATGGCTGTTTGGTCACTCATAAACTGCTTAGCCAAATCAAGATCTGTCATCTCTACCTAATTTATTACATTGGATTTTCTTGGTTCTCCCACAAAAAGCTCCAGACACACTGTTGGAAAAAAAAAAGGAAAGGGGTGTGGGGGGAGGGGGGTGCGCTGAGAGAGAGTTTCTAAAATAGTCCTCTTTAGGGACTGACAAGCCTACGAGACATTGGCCTGGCTTTGTGTGCATGTCACAGGGTACTGATACAGGAAAGGAAGGGGAAAGGAGCGCTCACTTGCACAGTGGAGCCAATGGCAATCTTGATTTAGGACAGCAAGCTCTTGATTCTGACAGCGAGTCAATCAAGGGCATAATAATAAGGACAGCCTATGTCGTCAAGCTGTTTGGCAATGCTTTGCAAAAATACTCACAGCTTGGCTTTCTACAAAAGGCTACCAAAGTCAAAATGGATCCTGCCAAAGCCCACAGGATGAGCCAGATACACAAACATTCTTTGATTTTTGGACAAATGTATCTCTTGCCCTGTACTGCTGCATTAGAAAAACTTTCATTAGGCCACTGCATCCTGTTTAATCCACCTCTCTCAAAAATGTATCCCTTTCAACTGAATTTGTCTCTTTCTCTAATGTCTATGTTTTTACCAAATTTGCAAGATTAGAAAAAGAATGAAAACAGAGAAAGGAGGTTAGATGTTTTAAAATCAGGTTAGTGGGCAGGGGAAAAGGAGGGACAGGTTGAGAGAGAGAGAGACCCAGAGGATGGCACAATCATGTGTGACTTTGCAAAACCATTTAAGCACAGGAAAATGAAAAATAATGTTCCATACCCATAAATTCATTTTTGAGAAGCTCTGCCAGCGCAGAAAGTTGTCGTGGTAAAAAGAAAGAGACACAGGGTCAGGTGTAGTGTCAACTGTGGAGCAGATACAAATATTTCCACGTCCAGCATGTATTTAGAGGTATTTACTGCTGTCAGTCATGAAAGTTGACACGTGTACCGTCTAGTAACAGACAGGCAACTCAGCTCTGTGACCCCAGAAATGATGGGAAATTAAATTAAAAAGACTGAGGCAAAGGGAAGAAAATGAACCAAAAGCAGAAGGAAAGAGACACCAGCAGGCAGGATAAGACGTGCAGAGACAGAAAAAGACAAAGACGGCAAGACATAAAGCCACATCACTTAGTGCTATATTTAACAGACCTTGTTTCTGGAGTGAACAACATTGAACAGAAATACAAGACGGAAATCAAAAGATAAAAGTAGAAGACGAAAAGGAAAAAAAAAATCAAAAAAGCAGTGAGTTATTCTCCAACATAAAAACACACAACACTTGATGAGGCTGACACAGCAAATGGGGGTGAGTGCCGCGACTTGTTTGACTAATGACAGTTGTGTGCCTTTGTATCGATTACGGCAAAACCTCTATTGCTGTTTACAGCTATTATAACCTTTTGCATAATTTACAGGGAAATCATCCCAGTATTCCCAATTTCCATTGCTTTACTGACTATAACAGGAGGCATAAATGTCAGCCGGTCTGCTGCCCACTCTAATAAAACTGGGAGTGTGTCTTCACTAGCATGGTGTAAAATAAAAGCATGTAACATGGACAAATTTCGGCATACAGACAAAGCTTGATGAAAGGGTCAAAATGACTAAAACTATACATAAAGAATGGCATCCTGTGACATACAGCCTTTTACATCATTTAAAATTACTCAGTGAAGAACTGGATGTAGTAGACAAACAGCAAAGCAAGACAATATGGCAACCGTATTTAATTTCTGTTTCATCTCTGTGTGATTGCTTGAATAGTGATGTGAGACAGGCAGGAAAGAAGAGAAACAGCCGAACACACAGGATTCTTTTTCCCTTACTGTTTGAGGCACAAGTCAACAGTAAATAAATGTGGCTCACTATCACTGTCCAAGCAATCATGAGACTACAACAAAGCACACCCCATTTGCATCGCTGTGATTTAAAAAAAGCAGGCCAGCATTTTGGGAAATCAACCTTCAAACTCAAAGTCCCAACAACAGTGGGCTAGATTTAAAAAAATGTAAATATTATAGGTGAGTGTTATGTTGGCAAACACATCTCATGAAGCATTAAACAGAGTTTAATACAACAGATGAACTTTTAGAGTGATTCCAGTTAAAGATGGCCACTACCCCCAATCAACTATAGCAAAAATAAGCTCTGTTACTTATTATAAAAGATTTCAACCCAATGGAAAGTTTATATGAAGGAAAATATAAAAACACTGAGCTGTTCATCGTGTTCAAGTGTCTCCTGGTTAACAATAACACTGGTAACGGGCTTCTGGATTCACTCTCAAGGTGAATTTACAATCAGTCAAAGGCAGAACTTTGTTCTCACTGACGTGGTTTTGTAAATTGACAATTATTTACAGTGGTTTGCAAAAGTATTCATACCCCTTGAACTTTTCCATATTTTGTCACATTACAACCACAAACATAAATATATTTCACTGGAATCTAATGTGAAAGACCAACACAAAGTGGTATACAATTGTGAAGTGGAAGCAAAATTTTACATGAATCAAAACATTTTTTACAAATAAAAAACTGAAAAGTGCGACGTGCAAAAGTATTCAGCCCCCTTTTCCCTGAGTGCAACCAATTGCATTCAGAAGTTGCCTGATGACTGCTAATGACTCAAAAGGGTCCACCTGTGTGTAATCTAATCTCAGTACAAATACAGCTGCTCCGTGACGGCCTCAGATGTTGGTTAAGAGAATATTGGGGAGCAAACAGCATCATGAAGTCCAAAGAACACACCAGACAGGTTAGGAATATGGTTTTGGAGAAGTTTAAAGCAGGCTTAGGTTATAAAAAGATTTCCCAAGCTTTGAACATCTCACGGAGCACTGTTCAATCCATCATCCGGAAATGGAAAGAGTATGGCACCACAGTAAACCTGCCAAGACAAGGCCGTCCACCTAAACTTACAGGCCGAACAAGGAGATCACTGATCAGAGAGGCAGCCAAGAGGCCCATGGTGACTCTGGATGAAATGCAGAGAGCCACAGCTCAGGTGGGGGAAACTGTCCACAGGACAACAATTAGTCGTGCACTACACAAATGTGGTCTTTATGGAAGAGTGGCAAGGAGAAAGCCATTGTTAAAAGAAAACCATAAGAAGTCCCATTTGCAGTTTGCCAGAAGCCATGTTGAGGACACAGCAAACATGTGGAAGAAGGTGCTTTGGTCAGACGAGACCAAAATTGAACTTTTTGGCCACAATGCAAAACGCTATGTGTGGCGGAGAAAGAACACTGCACATCACTCTGAAAACACCATCCCCACTGTCAAATATGGTGCTGGCAGCATCATGCTCTGGGGGTGCTTCTCTTCAGCAGGGACCGGGAAGTTGGTCAAAGTTGATGGGAAGATGGATGGAGCCAAATACAGGGCAATCTTGGAAGAAAACCTGTTGGAGTCAGCAAAAGATTTGAGACTGGGGYGGAGGTTCACCTTCCAGCAGGACAACGACCCTAAACATAAAGCCAAAGCTACAATGGAGTGGTTTAAAAAAAGAATATTCATGTGTTAGAATGGCCCAGTCAAAGTCCAGACCTAAACCCAATTGAGAATTTGTGGCAAGATCTCAAAACTGCTGTTCACAAACGCTCTCCATCCAATCTGACTGAGCTTGAGCTGTTTTGCAAGGAGGAATGGGCAAGAATTGCAGTCACTAGATGTGCAAAGCTGGTGGAGACATACCCTAAAAGACTTGCAGCTGTAATTGCAGCAAAAGGTGGCTCCACAAAGTATTGACTCAGGGGGGCTGAATAATTTTGCACATCGCACTTTTCAGTTTTTTATTTGTAAAAAATGTTTTGATTCATGTAAAATTTTGCTTCCACTTCACAATTGTATACCACTTTGTGTTGGTCTTTCACATTAAATTCCAGTGAAATATATTTATGTTTGTGGTTGTAATGTGACAAAATATGGAAAAGTTCAAGGGGTATGAATACTTTTGCAAACCACTGTATTTATTTTTGCTAGGCAGCGTTCTCACACCATTTGTCGTAAATTGTAGCGGTTTCTTTGTGACAAATTTGCAAACTAGTGCTTCTCTTCAGTTAATACCAGAAATACCAAATCTTCCTCCTCCAACTTCTCCCATCATCAGTTGTGACATCTAATGCCTACCGTCTGATAGTTTAAAGTGCCTGTGACAACCTTCTTCTTCACTGACAAAAAAATTTAAGAAAGTATCCTAAGATTTAAGAAATTTGGCATTGTTCACATGATTTTCACCCAGTTTGTCACAAAATGTGCATATGTTTTGCTGAATTTGGTGCAGTCCAAGTGAAACAGGAAGTGATGTCAAAGTGGAACTCTTTAAAAAAACAGGTAAGTCTTGACTTTTCTTTATCGATCTGATAGTTACTCAAAATAATCTACAGAAACATCTGATTCTTTGTTAGCCGTTGTAGCAACTCATTCAGGAATTCCCCTCTGACATCACTTCCTGTTTCTGCTCATGCAAATATCTCAACAACTCTTCATTTCAGTGTCGTGAAATTTGGTTTTCAATTCATCATTAATTTTATCATTCCAAATAAGCACTCAAATATATCACTTAAATTTCATGCCACAGGCCCTTTAAAATCCTCCTTCACCTGTGACCCATGGACATCTAGAACCACCAAGAATGCTACATGCTAACAGTGGCACCTGACAGGACGATGGAAAACCATGTACTGTTGCAAACACAAACATACATCTGGCAGAGTTCTTTACGTCAGTGTATCATTTTTGAGAAATAATTTGTATTTAAACCAGAAGAGGCATCTGTACGGTTGGAAGTTAGCTTAGCCTGGATAAAAACTTCTTCCCATTTCTCCAGACTTTGTGCCTTATGAATAATGTGGTAACTACTGATAACCATTCGACAGAACATCACTTCAAAAATCACCAGACTATCCCTTTAATGTTTCCAAAAGTTTGGTGTAATCACAAACTCAAGAAAGCATATGCTAAATATAGAAATGAAGCCCAATGGAAAGAACCAAACCAGTTGTTTGATGCTTTTCTATTAAGTTAAACCAACAGTCTGTAGTGATTTCCCAAAATGCAAAATAATTAATTCACTTCACTGTATAGAAGCCAAAAAAAAATAAAATAAAAATAAGATAAAACAACAACATGGTGACTACTAAACACAACTGAGTCAAATAAATAAAGAAAAATGAAAGCTCAAGCAGCATTTAAACACATGCTAAGTAGAGAGATTTATTAGATGATTCATGGGTGCTCAAAGTTTTTACACTTTAGGTTTTAATCTAGTCTAATTCAGAACATTTTCCTTTAACATGTTAAAAAAAACTCAACTTGTAGATGTATCTGTATCGAAGTCAGGATGAAAAATAGGGAAATAAAAAGTGTTTAATTAAAATTTGACCAACTGAAGACTTGGAAATTAAAAATGTCTAAAATGTAATGTTTGGACTTGGAACCAACTGTTGCTTCTTTTATTGCTGGTCATTGTTTAAAATAATGCCAGAGAGCCTTTAAAGTGCCCTATTTGAATTTCAAAAACTAAATCACACAAAAGTTTGGCATGGAATTATAGAAAAGTAAAAAATATATATATGTTTGATATATTTGCAAAACCAAATAGCACCAATGGATCATGGACAAAGAACTTTCAAACCAACATAAAGTGACACTTCAAACCTGCGGAGCCCGCCAGGGGACATAGGGGATTTTTTTCTTTTGCGTTCCCTCGCAAAAGTCGTTTATCACTGTTGTGCTGCCGGTTTATTAACAAACTCACATGTTCACCATTAGCGAGTTAGCCTACTGCTTTAATTCA